AAAAAAAAAAAAAAAAAAAGACCGATCACATGGAATTCTACTTTTTGAAACAATTGCATATAATGTACATAAATGGTTACATAATATGATGTGGAGAAACAAGATTTGATGAAAAAGTTGACAGTGTTTTAATCTGTCAAATGATAGAGTGTCGTGTGGTATTATATGACTCATTATGTAACCCCTAATATACATATAGCAAAATCTATAATTTCAATTCAAAAGTAATTGTGCACATGTAGAATACTGATTACAGCAAATGAATTAAAAACATGTGAGAAAATCCTAGAATTTAAAGAAAAAATGCCTTTTTTTTCTTTTTTGGACTCTGAAATCTTAACTAATCTGAGAATATGCGAGAGTTTTTCTTTGAAATTTGCTATTTATATTTTTCATCAAAAAGCCTCTGTCCAATAAGTAGAGAATTTTGCAAAAGTCACTATGTATTTGAATACTTCATGACTTACATAGATTTCTAAAGAATTTCAATTGAATACCCGGTGAATTTTAGGAAATTTTCAAAAGTCTATAAAAGTTCCAATTGAATACATCTAAATTTTTAGAATGTCTTTAAAAGTCTAAATTGAATGCGTCTAAATTTTTTAAATCCTCAAAAGTCTTTAAAAGACCCAAATGAATATGTCCCCCTAAGGTAGCTTTCTTCAAAAACTCTTCTACAGGAATCAAAAGCCCTATCGTAGGTGAGAGCCTCGCTGATTTAGCCCCACCGTAGGTGAGATTCTTTCTAACAGCGGAGCTCACTGACGACAAGCACCGCTCCACAACTGTGCGCAGAGCGACTCAGGCAAGCACCACTACGTGCGCTCTCAATGTCCCAACTATGGTGGTGGTGGCGGCGGCGGCGGTGCTTCTTCTGTTGACGCGCTGCTTTCTTTTTCTTATATATATGTGTTTCTTCCTCTGTTTTCTTCCTCTGTTTGATGGTTTTAGTTTTGTAGAGGTGGAGGAGGTGGCGACGACGGTTGTGTCGGGGTTGAATCGCTAGTGGTGGCAATGGCGAGATGGTGATGGTGTCGGTGCCGGCGACGGTGGTGGTACTGTGATAGTTGTTAGGTGGTATGGTGTTCAATTGGTGCTAGTAGTGGGGTGGGATTTGGGATGCGATAAAAAATGTTTATGATCAATTATTTGAATGATTGTAACCAATAAATAATATGTGATCAATAAAATCGATAATTTATGACTAATAAATAATATATAGCTTCAAAAATATGAGATTGTGACTAAATTTGTAATCCCGAGTCATAATTTGTTAAGTTGTGGCCAATTAATTTGATAATTTATAACTGTGAAAAAAATTGTAATCAATTAAGTTGATAATTTATGACATATATAATTTGTGATTTGTGACCTCCAAATAATATATGACTTATTAATTTGATAATTTGTGACTGATAAATAAATTGTGAGCTATAAAATTTGTAATCAATAAATAAATTGTGACCTATAAGATTCGTGATGTGTGACATGTCACATTTTTCATTTACTCAATTCAGAGAGCCAGAAATTAACGATCCCAACTCTATAATCTAGAATGGAGACTCGTACGAGCCATAACTAATAGGGGTCACATTTGACAACCATTTTAGGCAACATGATGTGAAAGGGGATATTAGAATCCTTTAACTATTAGTTATGTTATAAAAAAATAGTTTCATGTAGCATTTATTAAGCGAGGTCTATGTGACAAGCTTAGGGCCTGTTTAACATGGCTTTTGCTTTTCCTTCATTTAGAAGAGTTTTTGGAAGAAGCTATTTTAATTTTTATTTGAAAATTAATTTTTTTAAGAGTTTTTATTCCGAAAGTACTTTTAAAGGAAGCTACATTGGATCAATTTCTTCTAAAAGCTCTTCTAATTTGAAGAAATACTTTCATAAAATTAGTCAAACAAATCCAAAAGCAACTTTTGAATCTTAAAAATTCCTTTTGACTTTCAAAAATCATGTCAAATGAGCTCTTAGGAAGGGACTTTCGTTTGCATTAGAATTCTACTCTATTGATTCCCTCTAAATTACTAGCGAAACTTTTAAAAGTGGAAGAAAATATAATTGCTTTATATAAATTTTTTGTTCTATTTTATCATTTGACAAAGAAATTGAAGTGAATTAAAATGAGACCACCTATTTCAATTATTGAATGTTGTTTTCTAAATTGATATAGAGTTTAAATTATTCTTATCAAACGAAATCCTGAAAAAATAAAAATAGAAAATGTTAAATGATATAAGTAAAAATAGTAAATTGGGTTACAACCTTTATGAATCAGCATATGAGTAACTAGAACTCGGCAAATGGAGCTTACCAAAATTTTCAGAAACCCCAAAAATAGTAGTTCAATCATTATACGATTGAAAGTAGAAAAATAGAAGTAAAAACAATAACTATACAAAAGATGCAAACATGACACCTCAATTTTATTCCAAAGTACTATGTACTTATGAGTCAACGTCGAAAAAAAAAATAACTAAGGGTCCTTTTGATCGTAATGGTGAAAAATGAATAAAAAGAAAATGATTTTCAAGGAAAATAATTGTCTCAAAATTGTTTTGTAAGGAATTGTTAATTAAGTGTGTTTGATTGATATAATTTTCCACCCGAAAAATTTTTAAATTTTGTGTTCGTTTGACTTTATTTTATATGGAAATTGTCCATTAAAGTGAAATTTTTTTTTACCATT